GATCGACGCGTTGCTGTACGCAAGGCGTTTCGCAATTTAGAGGAGCTGAAGCAGCATATCGACTTCCTATCGCCGCGTGGTAACACATCTCACAATGCCTCCTTTCTCGCATCGACAGGCCACTATTCAGGTTTAGCTTCGAAGCTAGATATTTTGGAGCAGCGGTCGACTTCAACCCAGTACATGTTAGAGCATGTTGTTTATTTCCTACCGGTCCTTCAAGGGAGTGCCCCCAGTCGAAAGAGTATTTGAAATCTTGATCATGTGTATGAGATGTTGAACAATGGGGTATGGCAGCCTTTGGAGCCACAGTTTGAGGAACAGCTGAGGGAGGCAGCAAAGACATTTCAGAGCAATATGCGTGGCTACATGGCGCGTGTCCGCGTTTCTGCAAATCAGAGGATGGCATATGAATCGCGTGGGATGGCAGAAGCAGATCAAGAACGCATATCGTTCATCAAGGTTCGGCGGTTTAGCCACAAGTGCCCACGAGGTCACCATATGATGTACAAACTCAACCAGTGTTGGCGAAGTCAGCATGAGAACGACCGTGCGTGCGATTTGTGTAGGGGTTTTGTGGTGGACGCGAAAAAGCTTTCACGAATTCATTGCGGCGCCGGCTGGCTCATGCCCAAAAATGCCCGTACGATGGCAAGAGTGGGTTTCTGGAAGCGCACGCCTCGCATAATAATTGTTCAACGATGGGCTGAATTGTGTGTGTGGAAGCTTGTTGCCGCATGTTTTCAGTATTGTTTACCCGATCCCCATCCCCATCCCCATCCCCTCCGAGAGCCCCACCAAGTTACCACCCCAGTTGGGGATACACCCCTCGAAACCCGAAGGGAACGACCTATATCCCCATCTAAGGGTTAAATCGGCCAGTGGGGCCCAGGCCACGCCGCTGGGGAGGGGGATCGGTTAAACGATACACGCCGGTCGTTGAAAGTAGGTATCTTTGGATTCCCAGATCCCAATCTTCTTCAAACGCCTTCATACTTCAAGAATCGGCATGCTTTTGCTGTATATTGTTTTTCTCAGGGAGGGCCTGGACACAATCCACTTTCTCAGCCTTCCTACTTCATGTTTTTTACCGACTTCTTCCGACCGGCGTGTACTCATGGTTGCTGACAAAAGTAGTTTTTCTGGTTACCGCCCCGGAGTATTTCAAGGCCTACCTCGCGTGAGGGGCCACGGCCCCACCGCCGTCGCCTTCGTGGCGCGCTCCCGCGGCCCCGCGCGGAGCGGGAATTGGCGATCGTCTCGTCTCGTCCCCCTCCCTTCCTCCTCCTCCCTCCTCCCTCCTCTTCCCTTCTCCTCCCTCCTACTCCCTCCTCCCTTCCTCCTCCTCCTCCCTTCCTCCTCCTCCTCCTCCTCCTCCTCCTCCTCCTCCTTCTCGTCCCTAGGAAAGTCGCAGGCTCGGTGACAGCTCGTGGGGGCCGCTCCAGTCGGCCACGACGGCGAAGAAGCTGTCCCCGCACTAGAGGAGGCATCGGAGAGGCCGCTGTTCAGGTGGTCGCCAGTGTCAGGCTCGAGTTGCACGTGCATTTCCAAATCAGAGTCACAATGCACCAGATGTGGTATTGCCCCTGGAACGTTGTTTCACAGGTACTAATGCTGCTACGCATCTACAGGACAGAGGCAGACGTTGATCCCAGACCTCGTTCGGCGAACAACAAAAAAGATAGGCAGGCTGTCCCATGCCGAACAGGAAAAGTTTGCCAGAAGGACCTTGCAGAGCCCAGCGCAGGCTATCTCTCACCAGCCCAGGTCGGCCGAGTTTGATTTCATTGACGTGGACCAGACGGGGGTGATCTCGGTCGAGGACGGTTTCGTGTTCGTCGATGGCAGTGGCATGCTGACGGACATACCCGAGCTCCGAGTTGCGGGGTGGGTTGTCATTGCGTACGACAAACATAAAAAGGAGAGTCGAATGCTTTTGCGGTTCGGTTCCGAGGCAGATTGGCCCAATGCAAGTGGCCATAGTAGCGGAGGACTACGCGATTTGCCAGGCAAGCAGGTTTGTGTGGGCCTTCCTCTCGGACTGCAAGAGCTCACCCGCGTGTTGCAGGAACCGCATGGGCGACGGGGACCAAGTGTGCCCGAGCTCACATTTGGAAGGTGACCAAGACGAGGAAGGATTTAGCTGGATCAATGCTTTGCCCACGTCCAAGGCCACTCCACGCTGAACGACGTTTGGGAAGGACGTATCTCCCATTCCAAAAGGATGGAAACGATGAGGCAGACAAGTGAGCCCGAAACGGAGCCAGGCATCACCTTCCAGCCGAGCAGCAGGTCGCTTTCGTAAAGGGTTGTCGGCGCTTCCACAGTGGGCTGCTTGAGATCCTAGCGAGGTTTGGCGTGCGATTCCATGCCCAAGACGAGGAGATGCTGGATTACAGTTTCCCAGTGGCTGAGGGTGATCACGAGGCGATCGAGAAGGCGGTGCAGCAGGATGCCCAGTTTATTTGAATATCGCGCCTCTGGGATGGAAATGAGTCTTGCGTTTTGCACGTTTTGTTGCAAGTCGTTCAGTACGGCCCCCCATAAAAAATGCCTGGATGCGGTTTGCCCAGGTCATTCGCCGAAAGGGAGGGTGGCTGAGAACACGGGACATTTCCTGAACCTCTGACATCTCCAAATTGCGATGGAGCGCGTGAGATTCGAGGGCCCGTTGAGGCCATCTTCGGCGACAGGGAAGCTCACGCGCAAGAAGAAGCGTTGGACGGACCCCTTGGTGGATTCGGTTGTGATCAGGCCAGGCCGCAGTCGGGGGTCCTAACTCGAGGTTGAGTCCAAGTATTTCGATGCGCCCAGAGTCCTCAAAGGATATGGGCTTTCATGTGACCAGGTTCTGGAGTTGGGCCAGCCGGGCCCTGACGAAGGCTCAGTTGCCGCCAGCGATCATGAGTTTATTGTTTGACAGCCTGGGGTTGGGCCCAGGTCAGGAGTTGGGGTGGTCACCTGCCAGAGGCCAGAGGCAACTTTTTCTGTTTCGAAATCCTGTCGATGACAGGTTCGGTCGCCAAGGCAGGTGCTGTCCTTCCTGGGCCTTGGGGAGTGCAGCTCTGCTGGCCAGCCTGTTTTGCGAGGCGCGGCTCGAAGCTGCACTTGGTAAGGGGGTCAATTTCGTGGTGTGCACCGGTGGCCTCGGCTACGTGTCTGACGCCCTGTCGGCCGACAACTTCGTGTACGACAGTGACGTGCTGCTGTCGCTGGGAGTCTTCGACGCGAGCTTCCGCGTCGTGGCGGGCTTCGTGCTGGTGAGCACGGGCCTGCCCCGGGCCCCGTGCTCCCTGGCCCCGCGCGCCGCCCCGTTTGGGGCAGACGGGGGCCTCGCCCCGCCGCCCAGTGCCTGCAACGCGGTCTTGGCCTTCGGGCTCCGTGGCGGAGGCGCAGGGCGGTGGGGGTCGCCCGCCCCGCCGGCCCTCCAACCGCCGCTGGGCTGCTCGCTCGCTCTCCTCTTCCCTCGTCGTCTTCCTGCCTCCATTGCCCTCCCGGCTAGAAGATCGAGGGGCACAGGGACCCCGGGAAAGCATCGAGAGTTTGGGGATAACCCTCGCGCCCGACTGTTGCAACAAAGCTTGTGACGGCCGTCATTTCGTAGTTTCTGGCTCCTGAAGGCAGTCAGAAGACGGCTCGGCATGAAAAGTTCGTCCGGGGGGAAGCGGCCCAGACCCCTGGGGCCCCGCGTCTCGAAAGCAAAATGCGTCGTGTGAGAAGAGGGGGCAAGGGAATGGAAGGACGTTTTTTGTTGTTTTCGGTTTGGGGGGGCCATCGCCGGGCCCCGCACTCTTGCCTTTATCTCCACGTGCTCCCGCATGGCTATGGACAGCTCCGACGCGCTGAAGCTCAATCGAGGGTTCTGATGCCGTTTTCGTTCAGGCACGCGCGTGCAAGCAGGCTTCACTGGCGATTCCCAGGGGGAGTTCCGGAAACTATTGGAGATGGAAGAGAAAACGAACATCCAGAAGATGCGGACGTAGGCTTGGAATCCTCGAGATTATGTTGATTCCTTTGTGTCTCCCTGGGCCCCTGTAGGGTTGACACGCTTGCCCCTGCCGTTTGAGGCCGCTGGGGCAGGGCGGCTCGCGACCCAGTTCGATCTCCACAGCTCGAGCCCGACTTCGATCCGATCTGGCACACATCGGAGGCGAAATCTGAGCCCTGCCCTTGCCGCTCCACGATTCAGGCATATCGACGGGTTGCGGGGGCAGGGTTTGGAGTCCGTAGAAGCGCGTGGCGGAATCCGAGCCCTACCCCCGCCCCCCATCGATTCATTGTCCCCTTTTCCTTTCCCTTCTCCTCCTCCTCCTCCTCCTCCTTCTCCTTTTCCTCCTCCGCCTCCTCCTCCTCCTCCTCCTCCTCCTCCTCCTCCTCCTCTTCCTCCTCTCAGGGCCCCTAAGAGGGCCCTTTAGGCCCCAAAGGGGGCCGCGCCCCCTCAGTAAGCCACGCCGAATCCAGGCGCGAGCCGATCCGATCCGTTTCCGATCCGATCCGTCCTGGCGATTCGGTCCAGCTCAGGCCTGAGGGGGCCCGAAGGTAGTCGCGATTTGCGTGTCCTGCGGGCACAGGGCCAGCATTCATGCGCTCAGGGCCGTGGGTGGAAACGATCTTCGTCAATGCGTGGATCACCGCTCGACAGTATCCCGTTTCACGCTGACTGTTTGCATCGTTGCCGATGTGCTGTCGTGGCACGGCTGTTGATTTGACCCAATTCGCCATGTTGGCTCGAGCTGGTCGACACGTCACCTGTGGACCTCGGCCAGGCCTGCGCTCTGCACGAGGTCGGCCCAGGCGTGGCGGGCCATGTGGGAACGTGGAAGCTGGAGAGCAGAGCAGCACGGCGACCACGCTTGGAGAGATTTCGGAGGAGGGCCCGTCGAGACAGCGGCGGCCCTCCGTGTTTCTTTCATCCCTTTTCGAGCCTCCCCGATGCTGCTCGTGGCCACGGTTGGATCCGCCTCGAAGAGAACGGGCCAGGATGGATCTTTTGGTGGATC